TGAACGTCTTTTTCAATGAGTTTCAGAAGCATATACTCCGCGGTCGAAATTATAGAGAGTGACTCAGACATAATATAAAAACACTATTACCATAATACGTATAAAATATAAAATGATTTTTATACGGTTCAATATTATTTATCTTTGTGCCGCTCGCTACGCACATCGATAGAATCTATAATCGTCTATAGACTGAGTTACATTGAACGTCGATCTATATTCTTTTTCAGTATTTTGCACTTGGTAGGGAATAGGGAAATGCTTTTTTAGTGGGTGTAAACGGACTTGATTTACCCGTCCTGAGAAACATCATAGCATAAGCGTAGACGAGGGGTCTAATTCCATGGCTATAATAAATTTATAAATTAAAAAAACACATCTGGGACGTTTTAAAATGCTGTAATAATTAAAATGGATCAAAGTGCCGGAAATAGCAAACCGTAAAAAATATTAGATGTTATGTTTTATTCTCTTTTTTTAATATTGTCTATATCTTGTTGCCTTTTACGCAGACACGCCAATGGATTTTCGTTCCCGGCACGCTTCATCCCCCTGACTAGTCCAAAAGCTAGCGATGAGTCACTCTCTATAATTTCGACCGCGGAGTATAGTGTAAAATTATACACAGAAATATTATTTAGTTAGGTTTTGTTATTCCTTACATTTAGGAAAAAAGTTTTTAATGAAAAAATAATTTTGATTTGAGTTAATACTTCTTCCAAATTCACTTGATTAATTTTTAAGTTACTTCAATGTCGTTTGGAAAATAAGACTAAGCAATTATTAGGAAACGAATTATATTTGTTACATTAAACAAAAAATGAACATAAACTGCAATATTCAATATTGTGTTAATCAATTGTTCAATTGATTTTGAATTAATACTGTTTTCGTCAGAACACAAGTGTCAACTTGTAAATGCGACATATTAACTAGTGCACTCTTTCGAATAATTTTCCAGTTTACAATAATAATATTTTACAGGGAGAAAAGAGCACAGGTTAAGGTATTTACTTTTGAAATAATCACAAAAATTTTAAATTTTGAGTTAAGACTAGGGTTGCCAGGTCTCCGGGTTTGACCCGGAGTCTTCGGGTTTTGATGGTACATCATCGGGCTCCGGGTTAACATGTCATTTCTCCGGGTTTTCTTTGTTGCGGAAAAATCGTGCCCACATTTCCTGATTCCGTCCTTTCCGTCTTGATTGCATTTGCATAACCGTTTTTTTTTAGGCATTAATTATATAAACGGATCATGTCTCCGGGTCTGTCATGAAATAGAAACCATTTTGAAGGTATAAAAGGAGCATATATACATTATATCAACTAATAAATCTTTCGAAAAATCTAAAACATTTAAGATCCAAACGTTGAAATTACAATATAAAAGTACATATATATACCATCACTCCATCATGCATGTATTGTTCCGTTATCCACATGTACATGACCTTGAATTTGCTTTAGCAAAGCAGGATTTTTTAATAATCTGACTGTGTCGCTATTGCCACTGTCTCACTGTCTACTACCGTCCCCTACAGCTATCCGCAGAATACCCTGTATACTTTTTTATTTACGGGAAGTGAAAAGTACCCAAAGAAAAAACTGCTTATGCATTTAAACTATAAAAAATATTAATGGATGTATAATATACAGTGTGGACCATTTTGTTGACGCATGTATTGGTATCTTGGAAACTATAAGAGAGAAATTGGTTAAATGGGGAAAGTTTTAGACAGTTCTGTTGCTAACTTAAAGGCGCTTGCAGACCGGTCCTAGCTCTTCAGGTTTTTAGGTTATTTTGAAACAAAGTAAATGTGGCGGTTTCGAAAATTGTCTGTAACCTTTTTATTTAGATGAATTTTTAAAATCTGAAAATGTTTTTCAGAGCAAGGTTTTTCGAGAAATTTCACTGTATATTTACATTTTCACTGCGACATCATCACTTTCTTTTTTTTATGGAGATTCAATGATTACTAATGTGGTTTTTCTCCGTAAACATGTGGTTATTACTATCATTTTTTCACTCAACGCTATGACATTAACGATAAGTTTTTACAAAAGTTTGATACTGTTCTATAATAGTTTCGAAAAATTATGCGGTGTTGCCAGATTTATTAAAACTATTAAAATATTGATTTTTGAGGTTGTTTCTGAAATTTTTTCTTGTATTATATCATTGAAAATCCAAAAAATTCCTCTATTTACTCAGCTTAAAATTCAATATGGCGCCCATAAGAAAAAAGAAGTTTGATGACGGTTTCTCGCAACCGAAACGTCGCAATGAAAATCTAAATATACAGTGAAATTCCTCGAAAAAACTTGCTCTGAAAAAGTGTTTTCAGATTTTAAAAATTTCTCTAAATAAAAAAGTTAGACCATTTTCGGAAACACCATATTTAGTTTGTTTCTATCTCTTATATAGGGTGTTCCACCTAAGAGGGATTCTTCTGTAACTCTGTAACTGTAAAATTTACAAAAAATGGTTTTAATAAAAGTTGTCTGGAATCATATGGACCATGCAAAGAAAATATTTTTAGCTTTACAGGGTATTCCATTTCGCGTGGGCGCTACATAACTTTGTTATTTTAAATAGAACACCCTGTATATTATTGCGTTTTTGAATTCCTTGGTTAATATTAGGTAGAGTTTATTAAATGTACATGGTGTTTAAAACTTACCATTTTCGAGATAATCGGTTGTTTTTGAAAAAAATCACAATTTCAGCTCTCTAAATGAGACTATATAGATAGCGTTTAAATTGTAAGTTAGAAACCTGCAGTTTTCACAGTTCGTTGTGGCATAAATTACTCTTATATTGTTATCTCTGAGCAAAACATCTACGTTATTCAAACTCGGAAATACCGAGGCCTACATTTGATATTCTTACGAGTTGGAAAACTTTTTTTTTCCAAATGGCTCATGCAGAAAAAAATATTTTAATAGTTTTTGTATCTACACTGAATACTACAAACAATGTGTAAAGGTTTTGTTATATTAATTTATTTTTAAAAAGTTATTGGATATTAAAGATTTAATCTTTTCGCTTTGCGCGCATTCGCCATGGACTGGGATGTCGATACGTGATCGGTAAGTAAATGGCAAGCGCGACATATACAGTAACGCGTTTCGACAGTGCACCTGACTGCTCTGGTTATTAAATATATGATTAAATGTGTGGAGTGGTGTCAATAAGCATTACAATACCTTATCCTTATACCTATATACAGTAAATTTTTGAAGTTAAACTTATAATAACTATGGCAAATCCCTCTAAACCATACCATTACTGGCGCATTGTGCCGATGTGTGAAAATACATCGGTAAACATGCCAGAAAAAAATTGATTTTAAAATAAATTTATGTATACCTATAAATACGGTGACCATATTATGTACTTATTTAAGTAGGACAGTACTTACTTTTAAATAATGTCCTAATGTAATTTAAAACTTGTCTAAGGGCATGCGAATGTACTTCTTTTAAAACAGGGATTCGTTATATTTCTCATAAACAACTTTTACCGTTTATGTACAAATTTTTGTATGTGTAGAATAATTTATGTTTAGTTATTTTATGTATGTATTTTCATTGGAAATAAGATAGTTTTGTCCAATAAAAAGATATATTTTGCGTTTATAAAATATTTTTGCATTTATGCTAAATTTTGTACTTTTTTTTCTGAAAAAAGATATGGTCACCGTACCTATAAATCACATTTTCATACCAGCTTGCTTTTATTCCCCTTATTTCTGCCAAAGAAAATAAAATGTTTTTCGAAAAAACTCCGCGCAATCATCATGGAATCCACTCTCGGTAAATTGTCTGATTGAGCTTTAGCATAACCACGTTCGGTCATGTTACAAATATTCTTAAGAATTTTTAAAAAACTAAAAACTAATAATTATGATTATTTAAAATAACAAATTTAGATTCAAAATATTATTTAGGTAAGTAGTAAATAATATTATGCTACGCCCGGAAAGCTCACTCGAACTAAACGTCGTAAAAATAAATATTATACCTACACAGACTTAATTAACTTTGCTACACAGGCGCATATTTAGGTATACCTACATAATACAATGGAAACCAGTTAGTAAATATAACAACACATCAGTATCGTTATCGTATCGTAAGTAAACTAAAAACAAAAATAATAAATGTTTTTAAGAAGTAATAGGGTCGACATCGTTTTCTAATGTGGAGCGGCTAGTTTACTTACCGATGACGTCGCACCAATAGCAACTCGTTCTACGACACGCCCCTACAGGATGCTCATCTCCAAATTTCAATGTACGATTTAATCAATTTTCGCGTAGAAATTTTCACAAAAGATTTTATAATTAATAATTTTAAAGAAGGCCATATTTAAATATGTGAACTAATATAGAAAATCCGGCATGTGCAACAGGCCTATTGTCTTGGGTGAATGCAAAATTGAATGCCGTTTCGACTAATTTAAGGTTGTCCATACTTATCTCTAACAGATTTCCAGAACAATCATATTCTTTTCTAAAGTCCGAAAAAGTAGCTATGTAACAGTGTCAAGAAGGCCGTGCAATTGTACTAGTACAACGTCGATACATAGGATCCTTATCACATCCAATTATATCGAGAGTTACTAAAAGTATACTTTTAGCGGAGACTGGAGTTTTGTCAGGGGGCACTTGAGATGTTAAATCAAGATGATGATTTTTTTAAACGGGTCATGTTCTCCGTTGAGGCTACTTTTCATAAAAATGGTTCCAATTCCGGACAACTCATAGTCTTTGAACGTGTGGGCAGCAATTTTGAGAACCCATGTCATTGGACCATTCTTTTTTGACCAGCATCTAACTGGAACAGTTTATTTAAACTTTTTAACACTCTATAAGATTAGTTAGGCGACATTCCTTTAGCTACACTTCGAAGAATGTGGATGCCAGGATGCAACATGATGGTGCTCCACCTCACAATACCGCTGCGGTTCGTCAATTTTTTCACGAAACTTCCCGACAGATGGAATGGGCGCGGGAGACCAGTGAGTTGGCCTTCTAGGTGTCCAGATATGACAAGTTGCGACTTCTTTTTATGGAAAAGCAAAGTTTACGTTACACCACCAACTACTGCGGAACATATGTGGCAGTGCATTACAGTAGTATTTCAAGAAATTACACTAGACATCCTGACCAATGTTGAACAGTCCTTTAAAAACCGAATTCGTTTGTGTATTAATCAGAATGGAGGACACTTTGAGCAATTTTAGCTGTTAGTGGTTTACTTTTGTTTGTCAAACCACTTTTTAAACATGCCAGTAAATATTGACACTGTCAGTCCCAGGCCTGATAAAACGTGAGAGAAAAGTGGTTTTGCAAGGCCTTTTTGAGGCTACTTTTTCGAATTTTAGAAAAGAACCTGATTTTTCTGGAAAACCATTAAAAAGGATGGACAACCTTATACCAGTCGAAAGGGCATTCAATTTTGCATTTACCCAAAATAATTAATATGGGTCATTCCTTTTGAAAAAAAAAGTTTTTCAACTCGTAAGATTATTAAATGTAGGTCTCAGTACTTCCGAGTCTGAATAAGGTACATGTTTTGCTCACAGATGACAAGATAGAGTAATTTATGCCAAGAAGAACTGAACAGTAGAGGCTAACCTCTGTTGTACTTTTTCAACATTCAACAGGACTGGATCATTCAACAGGTTCATTCAACAGGATTGGAATCTGCTTAAGCTTAAACTATTCATAGTTTAATTTTGTTGGTATTTTGTTTACTTTGGATGATTTTAATATGTGTAGCAGATTGTCTGCTGAAGTAGCTGAATAAGAAAAAAAAGTAGAAATATACCATTTTTATTTACAATTTTATAACTTTTTGATATTATCTGTTTTAACTTTTCCAGATGTATCCTATCTTCTTTATATAGTGACAGTTGTATAGTTCAGCTAAACTGTCAGAGGTCATTGACACTGAAATTCACATACTAAATACATACAGTGCTTAAAAAAATGCATAATTGTTCATAAAAACTTGAAACGATTTTAAAATATATATATAGATCAGATTAGTATTTTAATTGATTTATTAGATTAAAAAAGAAAAGAATTTCAGATTCATATTCAGGGGAACACCTACTCTACTATTACCCTAAAAAACTGGCCACCTCAAGTTGCACCTTGTATATACAGGCTGTTACAAATTCGCTTCTCACTACAGAAATCCCAGAAACGGTAAGAGGTACGAAGTAACTTAAATGGGGGAAAGTTGTGTAATCAGGGGACCAACATTATGCCCCTAAAAAATCAAGGCTAACATGATTAGTTTTCGAAATATTTGACAAAAAAAACGAAATTTTAGAAATCCGTTTTTGTTTCATTTCAGCCTTGCTTGAGGTGATATTGAAAAAAGAAGAACACTTTCTCATGGCCACTTTTTGCCCTCTATCGAATGGCATAATCAATTTTTATATGTAATGTTTCGTCTCTCCAGGGCCATCGTCAACTTCATTTTTTTAAATACGACCCTGGAAATTTTATTACATTTTTTGCAAGCCTTCATGACCCCCAATACTGTACTGCCTTATCCCAAACCAGATTCAGATGTTTTGTCTCGAAAAATTCATTGTATTCGTTGTCGTCGTTCCAAAATCTAAATTTTTTATTTAGATTTCTTTGTTTATTGAATTATCGTACATTGTAAGTGTCGTTAGATCCTGTGAAATCCATCTAGTTATTTAAACTATTATCACCAGGCGTTTCAGTAAAACATTTATTATTATTAACTATTACCATCACTTTGTCACACATAACTCAATAAGTTGTTGTGTCAGAATTAAAACATTAAAATTTTAATTTTATTATGACAAATTAATTCTTAAAAATGCATATGAACAACCAAAAGGCCAACTTAAAAAAAATTCAGTAAATGTTCAAAAACATTTTCGTTTTGGCTAAGGCTGAAAATGAAGGTCAGCGTAATATTATCGGAATTTATTATATCTGTAACCGCAACTGTGAAAGGGCATGTCAGATGTATTTGTATGAATATCCTGAAAAAAATAGATTGGAATTTGTTTGAATTTAGTGCACTCGAGAAGCCTAGAAATAACTATAGACACGGGAATAAAACTCTAATAATGTTTTATTTTAATGCATTGTGGTAATAATTTAAAAACTAGATGGATTTCACGGGGTCTAACGACAATTATAGTGTAAGACAATTCAATAAACAAAGAAATCTAATTAAAAAATTTAGATAAATTTGGAACAAATACAATGAAGATGAATTTTTCGAGACAAAACGTCTGAACCTGGTTCAGGCTGAGGCAGTACAGTATTGGGAGTCATGAAGGCTTGCAAAAAAAATGTAATAAAATTTCCAGGGTCGTATTTAAAAAAATGATGGCCCTGGAGAGATGAAACGTTACATATAAAAATTGATTATGCCATTCGATAGAGGGCAAAAAGTGGCCATGGGAAAGTGTTCTTCTTTTTTCAATATCGCCTCAAACAATGCTGAAATGAAACAAAACCGGATTTCCAAAATTTTTTTTTTCAAATATTTCGAACACTAATCATGTTATCCTTGATTTTTTAGAGGCATAATGTTGGTCCCCTGATTACGCAACTTTGCCCCCATTTAAGCTAGTTTGTATCTCTTACCGTTTTCGAGATCCCTGTAGTGAGAAGCGAATTTGTAACAGCCTCTATAGTACTTTCCCTATTTATGTTGCTTGTAGCCAAGTATTTAAAATTAAACCTTTTTTTTCAGAAATTCTAAAATTAGTATTAGCTGGTAGGATGGGTGAGGCAATTGAAAAGACAAGTCGTTTATATCCAGGTTTATTAGAAAACAACCAAAATCTATTATTTATGCTCAAATGTCGTCAGTTTGTGGAGATGGTAAACGGATCAGATATAGAAATATGCTATAGAAAAAGTATAGGTGGTTATTCACCTAATTTTAATACCTCGTCTAGACCTAATAGTCCAGTTCAAACCTCCGTAATACAGTCTACAAAAAGTTTTAACAATAAGGGAAAGCAGACAGTAGAAGAAATGAATCAACAAAATGTAGCACATAATGGTACTAACTGTACAAATCAAACATCTATTATTAACACAGAAGACAGTGATGTAGAAATGTCAGAAGTTCAAAATGGTCACAGTGATGTATGCATAAACGGTAAAAACGGTTCGACAAATTGTTATCAAAATGGCAACAGTCATGGTGATAATATTCCACAGGAATTAATTTGCTGTGATAATGAGGATGAAGACATGGGTAAGGAACACTGAATTTTATGTGACATATATGTTTTTACATAATTAAGATATACAGGGTGGTGCGCTTAAGTATGGTACAAGCCTGTAACTTCTTTATTTTTTGGCCGATTTCAAAAATATTTATTTGGGAATGTAGGGTTAAAAAACTCTATCCAACTATGATACTGCTGTTTTTTTAATGCAATTCACGGCCAACTAGGATGTGTTTTCTTGACATCAAAACAACTGATTAGCATAAGCGATTTTTTTTCCAAAAAACAGATTACTTAGTCTCATTCAGCATCCCTTAAATCGTCTTACCACCCAAGTTTCATCAAAATCGATACATCTTCAGGCAAGCACTCCTTGATGTCGTGAAATGTAATACAAGCGTGTACCTTCTTCATTTTTCGGCCGATTTAATTTTTTTTTTATGAAATGTAAGGTAAAAAAACTATCTGACTGTGTTATTAATGCAATACACGGCCAACTAGTGCTCGCCTGAAGATGTATCGAATTTGATTAAACTTGGTGATAAGACATTTTAAGGGATGCTGAATGAGAATACATATTCTGTTTTTTGGAAAAAAAAATCGCTAATACCAATTAGTTGTTTTGACGTCAAAAAAACGCGTCCTAGTTGTCCGTGAATTGCATTAACAAAAACAGCAGCATTACAGTTATATAGAGTTTATTTTACCCTACAATCTAAAAAAAAAATTTGAAATCGGTCAAAAAACAAAGAAGCTACAGTCTTGTATCTTATTTAAGCGCGACACCCTGTACACTAAATTTCCTTTATGAAGAAATAGCAATAGGTAGTTTTTGAAATATTTTTTAATATATAAACATAAATTGAACTTAATTGGTATTTAATATAATAATACATATTTAATAATAATATTTAAAAAGTTTATTATACTATTATACTAGGTATCTTATTTTTTTTAGTTATATTTAATTTTAAACTGGAAACTATACCTAAGTACATACATTTTTTTATTTAAAATTAAATTCTCTCATCTGTCATGACATTGTAATGATCAAAATTACAACTTTTTGAGATATTTACGATTTTTCTTTATTTTCAAATATTTTTTTTTTTGGAATTACTAAGTACTAAACAGTCAAACCTGATGACTGACTAAACTTCATTTAGTTATTAACCAACTTTATTTTGATTTTTTATGTTAATAGGATACACCAAATTTTCATCAATGAACTAGTAAAAAATGTTAATATACTTTTGAAGAGAAAAAATCAACAAAAGAAATTATTTTATTTAATTTAACTTTTTTAAATTTAACCAAAAATTTAAATATATGTCTTACGGGTGGGTGATTCTAAACGACTTTTATTAATAAAACTTATAAAAAAATACCTAATATGAGTTTATGCTTTTTTCAATCTATTTTTGGTGTCTCAGATAGCTTCGAATTTCAAGAGGGTACATAAATTTTTACTTATAAATTAAATTCAATTAAAGTGCCATCTTCTCAAAGGAACATTTGAATAAAGTCGAACAAAAAAGTTCTGAGAGTGTTGCAGATTTAAGTAAAACACTGTATGTGAAATTTGGTAACAATAAGGGAATGTCCACAACTTAAGATTCAAAGAAGTGTTTTCATAATATGTATTTGGAATAAGTCTTAAGTATGTTTTTTTTTGCAGATGTTGATTTTCCCTGTCGTAAATCTTGTTCAAAACCAGCAGTTGAAAGAATTCTTGAATTTGGTCGGGAATTATACAGTATGAGTCAGAGGCTTAATCTTGACAAAAATTCTAGTGAATTGAATCAAAAAATGCTTGAGGTGAAGTATAGTTATATAGGGATTTTATAATTCATTAACTGAAACCTTTTACAGGATGCGTTTAGTTTACTAGCGTATTCAAATCCATGGGCTAGTCCTGTAGGATGGCAGCTAGAACCTTCACAAAGGGAATCAGTTTGTGCATCTTTAAATTCAGCAATTTTAGGTAAATACTTACCATTAATTTCATTTATTCACAAAAAATACAGCATAACTCTCTTTTGTGGTTTATCTCTACTTAAATTGTTTCCCCACTTATTTTGTATTTATTCATGTTTTAGAGCAAGGGTCGGCAACTGGCGGACCGCGGTCTATGTCCGGACCGCGGAAGGTAAAATACTGGACCGCCAAAAATTTTTTGAAAGTATACATTACTCAAATAAATTATTTAAAAAATGTTTTTTACGTTTAAGTGCCAACCTTATCATTTTTTCTAGTATTTTACAATTGTGTGAGTGTTTTGAGTTCTTAATGGTTAGTAAATAGATTAAATTTGAGTTCAAATGAAAATTTGTAAGAAATATGAATTTTTTTTCTGGACCTCGTTCAAAATTTTTAAAAGTATTCGGACCCCACCTAAAATTACTTGCTGACCCCTGTTTCAGAGGGTACAGATCTTTAAACTTTTGTTTATATTTTTTATTAAGAGAAAATTACTATAAACTATGTTTCATAATATAATCCTATTCTGTTACAAAATACTATTTTAGCTGAGATGTTTGAAACAGTAATTTTATTTCCTTCACGTTGGCAATCCCTTTTGGTAAAATTAAAGGTTATTCAAACAATAGAATTAAAGTTAAGTTAGAAGACAAAATTTTGTTTCACCGAGTGGTGATTGGTGTAATTTTTCACACTTTATTCATCCAATCAGTGATCACATTATCTCGAGCATAGACACAATTGAGGAGGTGATTTTCAAAACGCAGTTTTTGAAACATAACACATTTTGATATTATTACGTAATAATCATATGTGAAAAATTGTTGGTGCTATAAAGATAATAATAATTAAGTGTATTAATCACTTGACATTAGAATATATTTTTTGTGGTATTTTGTTTAAAACTGTTTTGAATACGAAAGAAATGAGTTTTGAAAACCAAAGTCGGGAACTGCGTTTTGAAAATCAACTACTCAATTGTTTGTCATTGTTCATTGATTGAATCATTAATATTGATTTTATTTAAATATCGTCCAAATTGTTCTCTGGTGTCGAATGCACGGATCTAACAGTTAGTTCTTAAAAGATCACAATCACAATGATAAATAAATACGATCTATGAAAAAAAAAGTTATGTAAAAACTTTTTGGTTTTTGAGTTATAGGCCTTCAAATTTAGCGTTTTCTTAAAAAATAATTACTCCGCCATTTTTTAAGTTGTAGAGCTGATCCTGTGCACAAAAGTAGTGAATTGTATGTACTTTAAGTGTGCACAAAGCAGGCACTATCGAACCATTAGTTCTGGCACAATTGCAATTTGATATTTTGGTACACTATTTTGCAAAACTTCAGGATGCGTTGGAGGTTGTCCGATTTTAATTTTTCAGCCGGATTTTAAAGGTAGAAGTATAATACTACAAAATGTATATTCTAATTTTCCGATAAAATGATGACGCGCTGGGCCGTTTTTGATCATGTTTGGAGAAATTTTTCACCTATTTCGCATTATTTTATCGGAAAATTAGAATATACGTTTTGTTGTATTATACTTCTGCTTTTAAAATCTGCCCGAAAAATTAAAATCGGACTACCTCCAACGCATCCAGAAGTTTTTCAAAATAGTGCACCAAAAAATTCAAATTGCAAGTGTTCCAAAACTAATGGTTTGACAGCACCTGCTTCGTGCACACATTCCCAAGTTTTGTGCACAGAGTCAGCTCTACAACTTAAAAAATGGCGGAGCAATGAATTTAGAAACAGCTAAATTTTCCGATTTTTCCGGGTTTTCTTCGTTTCCAATTATCCAATCGGATCGACCTCTCGTTTTATTCATATTTTGATTCTCTCCAAATTATCTCTTTATAGCATTTAGATTTGCTTCATTAGTTTAGGTTTTATAAGCAAAAAACTAAAAAAATGCGTTTTTTTGCATAAAAATGTTTACACAAAAATTGGGGTATGAAATATACAGGGTGGTCCGAATTTTATAAATATTGGTCTGGAACAACCCCGTTTTAGAGATACAGAGTGTTGAAGTTGTTACAAAAAAATTGATTTTTTGTTTATATCTCCGGAATCTATTAACCGATTTCGATAAAATTTGGTACATTAAGTCATTGTAAGTAAGAAGAGAGTTAAGTTTCCTTCGAAAAGAAGATAGCGGTTCGGAGTTTTCTGACGATTTGAGCAAGAGAAAGAGAGAATCGATGGATAAAGATATATGTATTTAAAAAAAGTAAGTTGATAATAAGATCACCGGCAAAAAGCACTACAAGCAAAGAGCAACAAAGTGGCAATATGGAAGAAATCAAGATGTTTGATGTTATGATGAACGAAATTAAAGAAATGCGAAAAGAAAATCATGAATGCCATGAGGAAATGAAGGAGATGAAGCTAGAAAATGAAAGAATGAAGATGGAAATAGAAGGATTGAAGAAGAGAGTAGACCAGTTAGAAACCATAGAAAAAACAGTAGAAAGATTAGAAAAGGATTGAATAAAGAACAATTTGGTGATAACGGGAATGAGATTAAAGGAGGATAAAGAGGGGTTGAATAAGCACTTTAGGCACTTTTTCAATTAATGTTTGGGCATAGAAATAGAAATCAAAGCCGTACAGAAGGTGAATGAAACAATATTTGTGGTGGAACTGGACAGCTTTGAAAAAAAATGAAAATCATGAAAACGAAAGGCAAGGTGGAGTATCTAAAACGTGACAAAATATATATAAACAGTGACTTAACGATGGAGGAGAGAAGAATACAAAGGATTATAAGGGAAAAAGCTAAGCAAGAAAAAGATAAAGGAAACAATGTGACAATTGGATACCAAATTTAAGAATTAATGGCAAAAGATGGAAATGGGATAAGACGAAAAAACAGCTCCAGGAAGAGATACAGGAGACAAAAAACTAGAAAAAAAAGAAAAACGCTAACTATAATAAAGAACAGGCAACGGAAAGGACTACGAATAGGGGCAAATGAAATAAATAAGAAAAATAGGATAATTAATAGTGAGATAAACAAAGAAATTAAAATTGGAACCTGGAACGTGAGAGGAACTTTTGAGGAGGGAAAATTAAAGCATATTGTAAATGAATTAACAATGGATAATTTTGACGTAGTTGCACTACAAGAAATGAAACAATTAGGGGAACTGGTAATGGAAATAGGGGGCTATATATTTATAAATAGCGAGGGAAAAGATAGACTACTGGGCACAGGGTTCCTAGTAAGGAAGGAACTAAACGAGTTAGTAGTACAGTATAAATTAGTTTCAAATAGAATAGAAGAAAACTTAAGGAATAACAATATTAGGAATTTATACCAAGGAGTGAAGAATGAGAAAAGGGGGTATCAACCAAGACCAGTATTTTATAAGGATAAGAATGGGAAGATAGTGGCAAAAGAAAACGAAATATTGAACAGGTGGAAAGAATATTTTGAAGAATTATTAAATGGAGATGAAACCGATGATACGGAAAGAGAAGAAAATAATAGCAACATAGAAGGAGACAATATGGTGCCAGCGCCAAGTAAAGAGGAAATTAAAGAGATACTGTCAAAATTGAAAAATAATAAAGAATCCAGGAAGTGACAAATTAACAGCCGAACTATTTAAATATGGAGGACATGAACTAGCAGACCAATTACAGAAACTACTAGAAATATGTTGGGTAAAGGAAGAACTGCCAAAGGAATGGACGGAAGCAGAAATTTGCCCTATCCATAAAAAAGGGAATAGAGGGGTATGCCAAAACTACAGAGGAATAGCATTGCTGAATGTAGCATATAAAATACTGGCCACTTGTATAAAAAACAAGTTGGTAAAGGAAGCGGAGTATAAAATTGGTGAATATCAGTGCGGGTTTAGACAAGGAAGAAGTACAATAGACCAAGTTTTCACTCTGCGAGAAATTCAGGCTGAGAGCTTCGAATACGATAAGCCAACAGTAGTTCTGTTTGTAGATTACCAACAAGCTTATGACAAAATAAAAAGAAGTGAGCTATATAAGGTCTTAGAGGAATTAGAAATCAGCAAGAAGATAAGGAACATGGTACGCCTAACATTGAAAAAGACAGAGAATAAAGTAAAAGTAAACAATAGATGCACGGAAGAGTTCGAAGTTAAAAACGGCGTCAGACAAGGGGATCCATTATCAGCAGTGTAATTTAGTTTAGTGCTAGAAAAAGTCATAAGAGATGCAGGAATTAATAGATTAGGCCTTATTTACTATAAAAGATATCAGTGTTTGGCATTTGCGGATGATCTTGTAGTGTTAGCAAGAAATAAAGCAGAACTAAAAGAGGTAATAAGGAGAATAAATGAGCAGTCAGTTAAAAGGGGACTATATATTAATGAGACAAAAACTAAGTACAGGGAATGGTCGGAAGAAGAATATCAAAAAGACAAGTTTCTGAAAGTAGATACAAACAGAGGGAAAACGTACAGATTTGAGGAAGTTGAACATTTCACATATTTAGGAACCTTATTTAGAAGAAGACCGAAAATAGAGGAAGAAATCGAAGCCAGAATAATGTTAGGAAACAAAAGTGTAGCGGGGTTGCAGAGAATACTGAGAAACAAAAACGTTTCTAGACAAACAAAGATAAGGCTGTACAAGACAGTGATAAGACCAGTAATTACATACGCCAGTGAAACGTGGACGTTGAATAAAGCAGAACAGACAAGATTGGAAGTATGGGAGAGGAAAATATTGAGGAACATTTTTGGAGGGAAAAGAACAGAAGAAGGGTGGTTTCGTAGAACAAATGAGGAAATAAAAAGCTTATATAAGGAGGCAAGTATAGTAAGTGTGATAAAAGCACAAAGATTAAGATGGATGGGACACATTGAAAGAATGCCAGGGACAAGGATACCAAAAATGGTAATGGAACGAACAATTGGCGGTAAGAAGAGGAGAGGAAGACCGAAAACAAGATGGAAAACTGAGGTGGAGAGAGACTTACAACAACTGGGAATTGTCAGGTGGAAAGAAGAGGCAAAGGATAGAAACAAGTGGAGAAAGATAGTCAACCAAGCCATGGACCTACTAGGTCTGCAGAGCTAGATTATCAAAATTATATCAAAAAATTACATTTTGTCATAAAGTTACAAATAATTTTTCTCTTTTTTCCACACAATTATGGGATACTCCCAATAAGAAAAATAAGAAATAAAAAGGACTAAATTGCTAAATTTTCTAAAATATTTTTACGTAACGAAAATATTGGACTTATAGATAACTAATTTTTTATACGACTGCTTTGCAAAAGGGGACACGGAAAACACTCTCTGAAAACGGTATTTTGCACACGGTTATGTCATCTTTGCACACGCGTCTCCAGATTGTGATTGTGACCCAAATTATGCAATGTTTCAAATTGGCTGAGTTTCATAGCAACCGTCATGGCTCCTTTATTTTGTTGATTAGATACTTCAAAAATTGTTGAATTCCCGAAGTTTGGGTGTGAAAATGTGTGATTCTGAAGAGATTTTACAGAAAGCAAGCGAAATATGTTTGGAACTGCTGCCCAGAAAATCCAGAAGCAGGTATGAAGCTGAGTTAAGCCGATTTATGGACTGGCGATTAGCCAAAAATGTCCAAACTTTCTCAGAAAACGCAGTAATGGTGTATTTTGAAGAACTATCTAAGAAATATAAATCTTCGACGTTGTGGACGATTTTTTCGATGCTCAAGTCAACGTTAAGTGCCAATCACAACATAGATCTTGGAAGCTATAAAAAGTTGCAAGCGCTAATCAAACGAAAATCCGAAAACTACGTTCCAAAGAAGTCCCAAATTCTCACAGAAGATGATTTTTGCCGGTTTTCGACGAAAGCATCAGACGACAAATATTTACTTATCAAGGCGGTGGTGGCAGTTGGACTATCTGGGGCATGTCGAATGGAGGAATTAGGTTATCTCAAAATAGAAGACACCAAAGATTTCGGCAGTGCTATGCTGATTAAACTGAAGAATACAAAAACAAAGGTGCCAAGGTGTTTTACAATTACAGGAAACCTTTACACTATCTTAAAAAAGTACTGTGCTCTTCGTCCTCCTAATCTGAAGACAGGCAGGTTTTTTTTAAACTATCAAAACGGAAAATGTTCAAGCCAAAACGTTGGCATCAACAAAATTGGAAACATGGCTAGGGAAATCGCCAAGTTTTTGATGCTAGAGAATCCAGAAAGTTACACGGGACATTGTTTTCGGCGTTCATCGGCCACAATTTTAGTCAATTCTGGCTCAAATCTGCTTGCCCTCAAACGCCATGGAGGGTGGAAATCCAGTACAGTTGCCGAAGGCTACGTTGATGACTGTTTGAGAAATAAAATGGAAGTTTCGAAAAAGATAGAGTCTTCAGTGTCTTCTGCTGCCACAGAACCAGAACAACGATCGTCTACTGGAATACAACAAGAAAACAACGACCGCACGCTGAAAAACTGCACTAAAAACACGACACCAAAAATATTCTCTATTACCGAAAACAAGGTGCACAATAATACTGCTTTTCCCAGCGTAACCTTGAAGGAATGTTCAAATGTTACCATAAATATTAAATATTAGTTTCTTTTGTTAATGCGTTAGCAATTTTCTTAATAAAAACGAGTTAAATTAAAAGTTGTATTTAATTTATTTTGTTAATGCGTTGGCAATTTTAGTAATAAAAACGATTTAAATTAAAATTTGATTTTTGTGGTCTCTGTTTGCAGTCGTATAAAAAGTATCGTAAAAAACTCGTTTGAAAACCTCTGCACACTCGCTCGACTTGTGGACCTCGCCTTCGGCTCGGTCCACCAATACGTCGCGCTCGTGTGCAAATAGTCGTTTTCAAACCTTGTTGTTTAATATACTATTAGATATTTCTATCAGTGCCTCATAGTCTAAAGTCGCGCGTATCTCGTTTACCCTGGACAAGGCATCCGCTACAACGTTTTCACGACCAGCCATGTGACGAATGTTTGTCGTAAACTGGCCAATGAAGTCTAGATAGCGGAATTGTCGCGGTGTACACTGACTCGACTTTTTCGCGAAGGCAAACGTAAGAGGCTTATGGTCGGTGTAAATCGCGAATGTTCTTGCCTCGACCATATGCCGGAAGTATTCAACTACTTCGTAAATCGCAAGAAGTTCGCGGTCGTAAGCAGCGTATTAACACTGAGCTGGGTTAAGTTTTTTCGAAAAATACCCTAGCGGTTCCCAATCGTCCTCAACTTTTTGTTGCATTACGGCACCAATTGCAAAGTCAGAAGCGTCACACACTAGAGCGATTTGCGTATTTTCGCCGGGGTGCGCGAGTAGAGCTGCCTGTGCTAAGCTTTTCTTAGCCGTCTCGAAAGCACTTTTCGCGTTTTGTGTCCAATTTATGGGTGCTTTCCCTTTCACATCTTCTTCAAGCAGATCATTCAGTGACGCCTGGATACCTGCTGCGTTGGGTACGAACCGTCGGTAGAAGTTAAGAGCGCCAAGGAATTGTCGTAATTGCTTTA